TCAATTCTGTTTGTGGTAAACAAGTTGGGAAGGAAAGTACTTTTAATTAAGCTAAAAGATGACTGCATCTTTCTGACACAAGAATTTCCGCTAAAATTCTTTGTAATATAAACACAAAGGTTTGTTTTAGCATTTACAAACTAAATTTATACATACCTTTATTCAGTTATATCCCATATACATTTTATTTGGTTAGATTCTAAATGAGAATAGCCATGGCCCATGTAATTGCAACTTGCGCAGAATGGATTATAATGAGTTATGAATATTTGTATATATACCCATGCCACAGAACTCATGACATGCTGAATGTGTTTTATTATAAAGATTTAGGTTCAAAGATGACTACATCTTCTTAACCTGCCTGCAAAAGATGACTGCATCTTTTTGACACAAGAGTTTCCACTAAAATTCTTTATAATATAAACACAAAGGCATGCTTAATTTAAGCATTAACAAACTAATCAAAACTTATAAATATCAATTTATACATGTATGCAGTTAATAGCCTATACAGGTTTTTATTTGGTTAGGCCTACATTCTAAATGAGAATAGCCATGTAGCTGCAACTCGCACATGAGAAAGGCTTAATTAACGAGTTACGAACATCTGCATATAATACCCATGCCATAGAACTCATGACATGCTGAATGTGTTATTATGTATATTATAAAGATATAGGTTCAACTGATTAAGCAAAGATGACTACATCTTCTTAACCTGCCAGCAAAAGATGACTGCGTCTTTCTGACGCAAGAGTTTCCGCTAAAATTCTTTATATAATATAAACACAAAGGCTTGCTTCATTAGCATTTGCATATAGTGATCAATTATTAATCACTCTAGACATTCTAATTGGGATAGGTTCAACTTTCAAAGCAGCTATTTTATTTTATTTTAAGACTTTCAATAGTACAAATAAATCAATTTCTGTAGTAATACTCAAATAGATGTACTGGCACTAGATAAACAGAGTCATTCCTGTCTCTCTCAACTCTAGACAACATTATATAACACTCCTCGATTACAAGCGAAAGACTACATCTAACGATAACATTTTCATTTGTACATGAAATGCTCAAATCTGTAACTTCGTTCGAATAGACATGTTGGCCTAAACGATAAGCTATTCTTCCTACTGAGAGAATATTGCTAGCGGTGGACTGCTTAGCAATCCCTTCGACAATTTCCTGGGCAATGTGTGAATGTTTCTCTCTGTACATCTTCCTTCGTTTTTTCGGAATGTCACAATACTCGGCCTGTTCAATTTTACATGCTTTACCAAAATCTATTAATACCAGCTGCAAATTCCCATCTTCATTTGCTTGGCATACCATGACATTATCGCTTTTAATGTCATTATGGAGCACGCCGTGGTTGTGCAGGTGTTGAATTGCCTCACCAAGCAGTTCAATAATATAAATGGAGTTATATTGTGTTAGTTTAGGTGCTTGATCTTTGGATTCCAAAATCAAATATAATGTGATGTTATTCATCTTAATGCCGTAAAATAATGTTACCATCATATAGGGTGTCACATCCAGGTTAACCTCTATGATTTTGAAATTGCTGTTTTCTACGTCGATTAGTGCCTCGCGATCAATTTTGGGAATGTCAGCTGAAGCACAACTATAAATATGATCATGTTTATGATAATTATAATTGAAATGACTATACATCATCATACTGTACTTCATATGTACATTAACATTAAGTTTCTGTATACTTAGCCAGCTAATAATCTTGCTTATTAATTTGACTAACCTGTTTAATTTGACTAACCTGACTAACAGATTTTTGCAATCGTGCTGTATATATATCGGCCAAAGCTTTTTGCTTCTGAGATTTATGCTTGGTTTGTGTGCTTCATTCCTTTGAAACATGGTGTATATGGCCCAAAAATGGTAATCAAACGTTTTAGTTGTTCAGTTGAATGTCCAAGATGTCTTAAACAATATAAAACGTCTAGGGCAGTTCAGCATCACATGTTGAAGTCGCATGATCTTTGCTATTCTGTGCTGGTTTTTCTCGACGAGAACAATGCCGTTGTGAACGTTGACAAATCTTGTCTTCTGCCAAGTGATTTTGTAATGTTAGAAAATTACGAAGAGTGGTTAGCCACACTAACGGAACAAGTAAATTAGGCGTTACACCTGGCACTTCCAGTTAAATAATATATGAGTGACATTTTGTGCAAAAACAGTATAGCCAAACAAATTAATAAAATAGTGTATTGATAAGTTCACTTGTTTATTAAGGCTGGTGGACAAAAGTCGAAGAACCATGTGTTCCTGATGCGCTTGTAATGCATTTAATTGCTAAGCTTCAGTAATTAACTGAAGACGTAGTGGTACCTCATAGCATCACAAGCATGAGCCACAGAGGGTTGCCTTATCGGTTGCAAGGTGTCGTATCGTGTATGGCCAGAGCACATGCAGCAACCAACATCCAGGATTTCTCTGGTGGTATCTGAAGGCGAAGGGAGGGCAATGGGAGAGGCAAAAGTTATTTACTGGCCAAACTTGTACACATCATCCAAGTGCTGTAAGTTTCAGTTGCGACTTCCAAAATCGAGAAGTGAAAACCAGCGAGAAAATCGAAGTGCAGCTAACACCTCTGCTAAAATCATTGTCAAATTTACACGTAGAGACACCAAAGCTAAGTTTTATCAAGGTCGTTTATGACTAAAAGATAAAACAACCCGAGATCTTGGTTTTTTGAGGTCACCTGAACACAAATTAGATGTTTCCGAAAGTCTCAGCCCAAGAAACAAGCAACTATTCAAGAATTGTCTCAAGTTTAAACGAGACCAATTCTTTCGCTATATATGGACATATAATGGCAGAATTTATTTGAGGAAAACTTCAACTAGCCCTACACATGCTATTAATGTTGTTGCCAATTTGGAGAAATTATCATCTAGAAGATAAATACTATGTAATTATTATAAATGCACGTTTCTCATTGTTCCTATGAATAAACATGACTAATTACTATAATCAAGGGTGGGTAGTAGCGAAGTAGTTGTAGTTCGCTACTGTGGCGAACTACAATTTTCAAGTAGCCAGTAGTTTTTGACTACTTTTTTAAAACAGTTGCTGTAGTTATAGCAAACTACATTTTGCCTAAAAGTAGCCAAGTAGTTGACTACTTTTCAAACAGCGAATCGCTATTCGCTACTTTTTAAAATTGTTAGCAACTTGATAGAGTAGAATGATATTGAGACACGGTTTGCCTAAAATCAATACTTCCATAGTCAATTTGCATTCTTGAACACTGTAGTGCTTACAAAAATGGGTTACATTTCAGGGTTACATTTCAGCCTGAGTTAGTAGATGCTCCAAATACAGTAAAACTAAAATTATAGAGTAGCGAAATAGTCGCTACATTTTTAAAGCAGTAGCTGTGGTCAGTAGCGAACTACCTTTGTTCAAAAGTAGCAGTAGTTGTAGCTGACTACATATTTTTGAAGTAGCTGTAGTTATAGCGAACTACAAAATTTTGTAGTCAACCCACCCTTGACTATAATTTACCAAAATTTGAACTGACTTCTAGACTTTCGAATTTACCAAACTTAGATGGTCATGATGTGGAGAATCATCTGTTGCCTTAAATATTATTCAACAACAGAGTTTCAAAATGCGCAGAGTATCAGCAGGGTAACAACTGGTTCTTCATTCTCTGTGTTACACTGCAATGTAAGAAGCCTGTCTGCTAATCATGATAGCTTAATGTCATTGTTATCTGATTTGGATTTCGAATTTGATGTTATAGGTATTTCTGAAACTAAACTAATGCAAGGTAAGGCTCTGATTACTGATATTTCAATATCAGGAGGAGTTGGTTTCTTTATTAAAGATAAAATTAAATTTCATGCTAGAGATGATTTCACTAAATACCACTAATGACTTTGAATGTTTGTCAATTGAAATTCACTCAAATAATGTAACACTGTGTGCTTGGTGATATATCGACATCCCCATAGTTGTCTTGAAAATTTATGTAACTATCTTACTCCCATTACTGAAAAGATTTCAAATGAAAGGAAATATTGTGTATTACTGGGAGATTTCAACCTTAATTTATTGAATTGAGAGTGTCATGGGTGGTACTGATAAATTTCTTAACACAATGATTTCTTACTTTTTTCAACCACATATTTTGCCGCCCACTAGGACTACTGATCATTCCGCTACATTGATCGATAACATCTACTTTAATTCCATTGATCATTCTACCACTAGCGGCAATATAATTTATGACACTTCCAACCACCTTCCTAATTTTCTTATCGCAAGTAAATTGAATTTTAAAATATTGAAAAATGATGTCTTTGTGAGAGATTATATTCCCATTATAATGAAGATCTTATTACAAAAACTGGTGTTGTGAATTGGGAAACTGTTTATAATAGTGATGATGCAAATTTAGCATTTAATACTTTTTTTAATAAGCTAAATATAATTATTGAGAAACATGTCCCTTTGAAAAAATTGTCTAAAAATAAGGTGAAGCTGCTAACCAAACCATGGATTACAAAAGGCCTCAAGATTTCAATTAAGAATAAAAACAAGCTTAAGTCGCATCTTAAGTCTAAAAAATGGATATTATCTATCTAAGGCCACTATTTGTTGCATATTAGTTTCTCATCCGGGGCTTCACCTAAAGTTGATGCGGGTGGGTGGGCCATTACCATTATGCCATTGTTTGCCGGATTTCCAATCTCCATCAATATTACTTTGAAAAAGTGCGCATTAACATTTATAGCATTGCAAAACAGCACAAAATTAGTGAGTGTGACCAGCAACTGAAACCATGTTTTCATATTAAAAACATTGCCGCTCCACATGACCACATGTGAAATAATCACAGAATAGAGAAATAATTTTGTAGCCAAATCGTCTCGCGGTTGTTTCCCTGCCCCTGGCTTCCGGTAGAACTCTTAAGTAAATGCGAGAGAAACTGGCAGTTTTGGTATGAAATTTTAGAGAAATTATATAACACCGCTGCAGATAGGCAACTACCATCTGTGACTGTGTTGGAGCAATCAAGCGATGGTAGCCTACAATACCTGTAAAATTAGTGGTAAGTAGATCCTTTTTATTGCATGTATATATATATATATATATGTATTGTGCTCGCCTCGGTATTGTGTCTGAACACATCTGGTGTGTGTATTTGTGTAACTTAATATTTATTATAAATTATATTAATCTTCAAAGTCACAAATATATTTCTCGCATATTAAATAGCATACCAGTACAATATTAAACTATAATTGTATTATTATATTTATTGTTACTTTATACTATGCAATATGTATTATTGATATGACTGAATATAACTCCAATGGCATCGTTTCTCTTAAAATGTCATCAAATCTTGATGAAACTAGGTCAAGGCATGCTGAATTGTTGTCTTTATTTCAATCTCGAGATGCTCTGGACAAGAAACTAACTTAACAGGAGATAGTCTTTTTACAACCACAAATGCTCTAAAACATAAGAAATGTTAAACACTTTTTTTCTTTTTTAATGCGCTTTGGAGCAGAATGGTTACAATAAATTTGTTACAATATTAAGTTTGTTGAGTTCCTAAACCTTCCAGGTTACCTTTAATATTAAGAAATAAATAAAGTGTAAAACAGAACAACTGTGTTGAGGTTTGTGTTGAAAACTTGGATTATTCTATATATTCATTTTATTTTGCTATGAAACTACGGTCACCATGTCACCATGTTTGTAAGCGTTATATGATTAAATGTTGCATTTTACTTGCTGTTGATATTTTGTATACCTTTGAATAATTACTGCATTTGAAGCAACAGGGGGGTATCAATTTTATTTAATTTAAACATATTTTTGGAAAATTGAGTTTGCCCCAAGAGCGTACACACTCATCTAGGGGGCTTACTCGTTAGAACTTAAAAAAAATACACTGTCACGCACACACGGTTTTTAATATTTGAAAACTAACATGATAGGTGTCAAGAATTATTGAAATAAAAACGTGCTGTTTCTTTAATATAAGTCTGAACATAAGAAAATATTGCCGTGTTGTGTTCCAACGACAGCATTTGAGAACCAGAGAGAAATATTTCCATAATTTGTTCATCCTTCAATCTTGACGACCCTTCGGGAAGTTTCTTGGCAGCGGAGGAGAACAGCTTAGACCTTTGGGCAGCAAATATTGGACAGTAGAGAAAATAATGTTTTATAGATTCAGTGTGATAGCCACACCTGCATGATGGAGACATTTTACAACCTATGCTATACAAATATAAATTTAGTGCACATACACCTAATCGCAAACGAGTATGGAAAATAGAAGAATGCCTATCATTTGCAAAATTTAAAATAGGATTAGGATTACATATGTCAAATACATTTAGTAGACTGTTCTTAAAGTGTGTAATTGAATCTGTAGAACGTATCTCATTGCTCAGATTATTCCATAATATTGTCGTGGAAGGAAAAAAGGCTTTCCTAAACTGTTCTGTTCGACAAGCGAAGAGTGAGTAATCTATACAATTTCTTAATTTATGTTGTGTCCTCCGACGAACTTGAAAAGGAAGTAAGTCACTTAAGTAACTGGGACTACAATTATTTACAATTTTATAATATAAAGTAAGTTTGTGAATTTTCCTTCTAGTTGACATACTTTCCCACCCTACTTCTCTCATGAGACGATGCTTGCTTGTTCCTTTCATAGCCCCTGTCACGAGTTTCGCTGCTTCATACTGAACGTGTTCAAGAAGATCGCTTTCACTTTCACTTTCAGTACAACTGTCCCACAATACGTCTGCATATTCCATGACAGGACGAATAAGTGATAAATATAACTTACTCAAAGTATCTCTGCTAATTTTATATTTAAGACCTTTAAGCATGTTAAGCTTTTTATTGGCTTTCTCGAAGATATTGACAATATGGGCTTTCCATGAAAGATTTGTGGTTAATTTTACTCCTAGATGTGTATGTTGTAAGACCTCCACAATTTTGTTATTATCAAAAAATAAATCTGGATGGTAGGGTTTAAACCGTTTTACTGAAAAAATTATACTTTCAGTTTTTTTAACGTTAAAGTAACAAGCCAGCGTTTTTCCCAATCACTAAACTTACTAAGATCGTTATTCAATTTAACTGAAGTAATATCAGGAGACTCGACTATATCGAATAGTGACGTATCATCGGCATATAATAAGGGATTTGTTTCAAGATTTTCAGTTATATCGTTAATATAAACTAAAAATAATAGTGGACCGAGCACAGACCCCTGGGGTACTCCGGCGTTGATATTCTTCCATTGCGAAAACTGACCATCTATGACTACGCGCTGCTTTCTATCCGATAAGTAACTCTCAAACCAACTAAGCAAAGTATCTCTTACACCGATTAACTTAAGCTTATATAACAGTCCTTTATGCCAGACTCTATCAAAGGCTTTGCTGATGTCGAGAAACACCACTCTTACTTCCTTGCCTAGTTCGAAAGCCTCGTATATCTTATGCGTTAAATATAAAATTTGATTAACTGTAGAATCACCTGGGCGATAACCTGACTGCATAGGATTTAAAAAACCTATGTCAAGTAAAAAATTATAAAATCTCATGAAAACAACTTTCTCAATTACTTTTGATAACGACGCTAATAAAGATATGGGTCTGTAATTTATTTTCAATTGACGATCGACTGTAGTTTTGGATAAAGGAATAACATTAGCCATCTTCCATTGTTCTGGAAAAACGCCAGAGGACAATGATAAGTTAACCAACCGTGTGAAAACATTCGTTATGCCATCTGCACTAACCTTAATTATTTTATTACTGATTCCGTCGGGACCACAAGCTTTTGTTGTGTCCAAACGTCGAAGTAAGCGATTTATTTCACTTTCGGTGGTGGTAATAATGGACAAGAAAGTAGCTGACTGAAATGGAACTATTTCGTGAGGAAGGATTGCAGCACTATCGTCGATCATGCTCTGACTACTAAAATAGTCGTTCAATAATTCTGCTTTAGCTCTAGCATCGCTTATTACATTTTGACCCTCAATAAGCGTTGGTACAGCAACACGCATTTTTTGACCATAAAGTGACTTGACAATTCCCCACCACTTTTTAGGACTTATTTTGGGATCACCAAGGTCCTGGTTTAGACTGGCATAATATTTAACTTTGTTTGATCGAATTAAACTGGTTGTTCGATTTCTTTGTATCCTATATCTTTCCCAAGATGCTGGCGTTTTATGTCTTGAGTACCTTTTTAATAATCGGTTACGTTTTCTGATAGCTCTCCTAACGTTGCCATCCATCCACGGTTTATCGTGCGGACGAATAACAACTGTTTTTCGGGGAATATATTCCTCAACAACATGTTGGAAACTTGAAAACCAATTATTAAATATAATATTCACATTTTCACCACCAGTAAAACATCTTTCCCATTCATAATTTAACAAAGCATAGTTCAATTCTGCTTCGTCAATATTTTGATAATTCCAAACTGTGCGCTTAAAACATTTAAGTTTTGATAAAAGAATACTTAATTTAGCGTATACTATACAATGATCACAATTTGCCGGCGGACTTAGGGTGCCTGAACTTACAAAATAACCAGGAGAATTAGTAATAATTAAATCTAAACGTGTTGAACCAGTTGATGTTATGCGTGTTGGTTCATTTATAGCTTGAAATAAACTATTGCATTCCATCCAGCAATATAAGGAAGAGCCAAAATCACTTGAATCTGAAGAATTGCTGAAATCATAATGAGCATTAAAATCCCCTAGCAAAACTATTAATTTATTCGGCTCTAATTGAATTTTATCTAAACAAATTTGCAAGTTACTTAGAAACGCTGTATTAACATCTACATCATTGCACGGAGGTCTATAACAAGTTGCACATACTAGCGAAATAGACTTAATTTTGATTTCAACCCACAGAATTTCAAACCCAAGGGACTCTAAATCAGTCCTCCTTTTTGGAACAAATTCGGAAGACATGTGCAAGGCAACACCACCGCCTCACCTGCCATCAGATCTATCCAAACGTATTAAGGGACAATAGCCAGGAATATTAAACAGATCATTGGATATGGAATCGTTTAACCATGTCTCACTATAACCAAAAATCTTAAAATTTTCGTCTAGCATTACAAAGACAATTTCATCGAATTTATTAGTTGAATTTCTACGCGGGTTTAAACTGCGAACATTTAAATGACCGATTTTTAGCAAAATTAGGCGATCAGGGCCAGGATTTTGTTCAACATCCGAACAAATTAGAAAGAAAAGAGCAAGAAATATCCCAATATGTAAATATATGTTTAAAGTTCTTACAAAAAGTCTACCAGTAGAATAATTGAATTTGTAGCAGTTAAAAAGTCCATTTAACCAGATCCGGAGGTAAAAGGAATAACTGAACTCCTGCTGCCGAACATAAATATACAAATATTCCATAGTAATAATACACACAAATACTGAAAGTAGTAATACAAAATTTAAAAAGTAAATGATTAGTAATAGTGTGACCTTGGAATCCTTTGAATATAACAGACCATATTTGACTAGATCTTCTTTGTGTTTAATACGATAAACTCGACGATCCGTTCGCGCAACAACAGTACCATCAACTGAATAGATTTTGACATCTGACGAGCAATTTGCTTTCGTATACAATAATAACTGATGATTTGATTTCGTCAGATCTTCATTGATATAAATTTGTCTGCCTCTGAGATTTCTTCTGGCTTTCATAAATTTCATTTTAGTGGTATAACACATCAATTTGACTATCATAGCTCGTGGGGCTGGCTTTGGTTGACCACTGCTGACTTGCTTTAGTTGGCCAACGCGATGCGCCCGATCGATTTCATCTCTGGTAACTTCGATATTTAAGTGATTCTCACATAACTTAAGTACTTTGTCGTAGCAATCCTCTTTAATCTCTTCGGCAAGACCGAAAATTCGTATATTGTTTCTTCTGGAGTATTGCTCGTTGTCGTTTGCCTTAACTTCTACATTTGCAGCTTTGCTTTAAGATGTGTTACTTCGTCTTTGAGGGAAGCAATTTCTGTATGTAAAGGCTTTACAATCTCTCCGACTGCCACAACAACTGCACCGGCAATGGTTTCTTTAAACACACTTGAATTCTTTAAATAATCGTCCATATTCCTGGCAAATTCAGCAAAAGAATCCCCCACCAGGCCAGCCGAACGAGTTTTTACTGACATTTTAATTTTGTAGTAAACTAGCGAGCGAGCAAATTTAACGATCGGAGGATTTAAAATTTAATTTGAGGACACCAAAACTTAGAAAACGACTACATACAGATCATTTGATCGATATTTTTAAAATTTGTAGAGCTCATTTGGACACGTCTGAACGTGATCGATATTTTTAAAATTTGTGATATTTTTAAAATTTGCCACCCAGGCAAGGGGATCACTATTTTTCCACATATTTGAGAGGGGATATACAAAAAAAACTCAACTTTAGTCAAATTCCTGCTATCCCCCCCCCCCCTTTCCATTTTTAATGACCGCAGCCTAAAAACACCCTGTACTATTAAATATGAAGACAACAATAACCGGTATTACTCAAAACAACATTATTACTTATATCTGCATGGGTCAATATATTGCATGAAAATAGATACGGTGTTTATCAAAGTTTAAGTTGTAGACATTATGTACTTTACATTATTCATAGTTAATGAATAATGTAAAGTACATAAAGATGCACATTTTTAAGTGCGTCAATAAAGGTAATACATGTAATAATACTAAATAAAACAGGATAATTCCAACCAGGTGTATGTAATATAAAGTCTAAATTAATGGTTACCTTTTGGTGCCATTATGTTTCATAAACTATGTATATCCTCAATTTGTGCTGTATAGTTAAACAGTGAATAAATAGTAATAAATATATGTTTTCCTAATTTTATCAACCTGGTAGGGTTTTTTATCTAACTATGAGAGGGAAGACATTTGCTGAACACAATGACTACTGAGCGTTATTCCTTAAAGTAGACACAAGAGGTTAAAATGAATCCTACCAGTGCTGGAACGGACAAATGCTGAATATCACTAACAGGATTCTGGTGCATACCATCGTAATCATACCATTTTCCTTGATAGAAGAATCTGCCATTGTAATGAACTCCATTCCAGAATGTAATTGCGACCTGAGTGAATATCTACAATCGAGTAAATTTAGATGGGAAGGCAACTCTTCTGGACCTTTCAGGTTTTTAGTCTGGGTGAGATTGCCAAGAAAGATTGGTAACACCAATGGGGGACCTCTGTCGAATTCTTTGGACTCAAACCTACCTGTTCCTCCACAATAATCGGTTGCATCACTCTCTGGTATCTTTCGTTGATTTTCTCGTATCGGTCCATAAGACTGCATCTTAGTGATGACTAATTGCACTCCATTTCATTCGTTGCTTCGACTTTTTATTGGTCTTCCCAAAGACTATGGTCATAAGTAATCCTTGGTCTGCGTGCTTTGGGATTATTAAACATTTATTTGATGATTTTAACTCATATTTATCCGGGCCAAATAGCATGTCAAACAAATCAAATGCCTCTTAACCATGCCACCTCATCTGCTGAAAAGCACAACTTTTTGGGTTTCCAACCACAACCTTGATAATACAATTCACATCCTAAAATCGAACCACGTTTATATCACTTTATGATAAAAAATATACAAGATCACACTAAATTTTTTACTTCAATATAGTCAGGTGAAATGTATCGTGAACACATATATACTCCATTCTTGGATTTTTAAAATTTAATTCAGTTTAGGTAATGCTTGATGTTTCTGTTTGTTTTAAAAAAGTACAGTCTAGGCTATGTGTGTATAATGCCAGAATTAGACACTAAATTGGTTATAGATTGAAACATTCAAAATTAAATACTGTTACTAGTACAAGTATATACTATTTAGCATACCATAAGTGATACATTCCAGCACCTTTCTTAGTGCCAAGCGGGGTGATAGCAATCTGTCCATATACATGTGTGTTTGAATTTGCTTAACTGAAAAAGGAATAACAATAAGAAGTAATACAATATTTTTTGAGTTTTAAATCTATGGTGTACGAGGTCAACGATTAACATAGGTTAACAAATATACGATTACGTGGTTAACCAATCTCGTTCCACAACCATACCCATTCGCAGGTTAAGGGTGGGCATACCCTTAACCTGTGAGCGAGCATGCTCAGGGAACAAGAAGGTAGCTCACAAAAAAAACCTTGTACATCAAAATACTGGTGATTAATAACTGAGAATGATGGATATCACAACAAACCTGAACAGTCTTTGGACATCATATCATTATTAGTAGCTTGCTGGTATAATCCACGGTCTGCCTTATGCGAACTTTCGAATCCCTGGTTACTAAATTCCTTCATTGATCCGAACGATCGCATCATCATTGAAGCATGTTGAATAACGAGGTGTCCATAGTCTCCCATTCCAAGTAATGGACCAAAAGACTCACAAAGTTGCAGTTCCCATTCTTTACACTGGAATACAAATAAAATATATTTCATTTTCAACTATAGACAAAAATCTACCTTTCGAAGAAACAAAAAAATAAGTGATTCAACGTTCTAAAGTTGCCACCGGAGCAGGCATTACCATTTGGAATTTAAACATTAAAATTATTTTCACAGAACCAAATTAACATATAAATGGAGTATACTATAAAAAACACTTGCCATACAGTGACAGTTCTTAACTAACATGCTGTAAAGTTGAAGAATATATGATAAAATAAACAGAACTGTAGATCAAACACATCAATTGCATCTCCTTCATTTTGTTGATAAATTCTATCACAGATTACCAGGGCTTATAGCCTTCCACATAGTTCCAATCTAGGTATAACAAAACAAATTTTACAACAAATGCTAAAAATTAATAGATTTGAAATTGATATGTACTCAATAACTTTATTTACCAAAATGATAAGGTCTTGCTTTATTTCATATGCTAAAGACACTACTGTTTCGTCCCATTCTTCGCTACTCATCATGCCTTGGAGGTTCAAGGTTTATTCAATTTGGCTGGTGAGATTTTCCCAGTAAAGCAACCTTTCTTGGACATGTAGATCAACATCACCTAATGATAATAAAAAGAGTGATGTTTTGAAATGAAATAATTTGTAATATGCATTCGTACATAAGGGTTGTAGAGTAGATTTCAAATATGGAACAAAATTAATTAACATGCATGAACTTGCAGTTAAGAAATTAAAACTGCATGACAAATTAATTTAATAAAACTTGACGACTGAATGGTAATAGTTTCCTGAGAACCCTCAAAATCACAGATAAAAGTTTTCCCTGCCAAATGGTTACTAAAAAACTTAACATTACCACAAATATTGGACATTTTGCAGCTGTGTTTTGTCAGCAGATAATTGCTTCACAATTACATTCAGAAAACAAGATGGCGACTCGAGCTTCAGGGAAAGGCTCTGTATCTTACAGTTTTCTTCATAATTTAAGTTCAGTAGATGTCCTTTTTGACGAAAGTAAGAAAAAACCAAGAACACGGACTGTTGGGGTTTTTGAGGCAGAACATGTTATAGCGCGAAGAAAGGATAGAAAGGTGCGTGGTTGGCAATTTTACACTATTCATACTATAAAATATAAATTATATGCGGAATGTTTATAACATGTTGTTTTTAAATAGCTACGAAATAGCGAGTCTTGTGCTTATTTAACTTTGCTCTTGGTAGTTTTGTGGCTTATAGTGTAATTACTGTTTACATTTCAATATGCAGGGCTCTATTAAGTACTTGGTGAAATGGAAGGGATATTCCTCGTTTGAAAATACCTGGGAGCCAGAAGAACACCTTTCACCAGCTTCTTTGAGGTAAGATCTGGTCAAATTCGGATTAGTTATAATTCCTTTTTAAATGTGTCCTGAAAATCTTAGCAGTAATAAAGTTGATTTATATTCCCAAGGAATCAAGTTGATTCAAATCAAGGGTTAAAATGATCATTTTAAAAAAAGTTGTTTCAGACTAAATTTTGTTCTAAATTAATAAAGACATAAAGCAAGCCTGGTGGATATGTTGGTTATAGTTTTGAAATATGTATAATTACACATTTTGTGATACATATTCATCATCTCTCCCCTAGATATTTTACTAATCCTCATCCAACACCAACTATTGTGAAGGAATGTTTAGACAGGCTAAGAGCTATGGCGATGGTTGCCCTAAAACACAAATGGTTGGAACAGAAGATAATTCTTGAGTTCAGTCATGATGTGAACAATTTTTTGTTTCAGGGGGGGGGAAGGCAAGCCAGCTGAGAAAAGAGGTTGGACTGTGTATGAAGAGCAGGACTTCTCAAAGTGCAAATTTCCTGCCAATTAGAATTGCATCCATATATGACCAGCATGTTGATGCTTCCAAAATCAAGTTTCCAATAAAGATGAGGGCATTCTTAGGTCGCACACCTGCAGGCTGCTCCATTTACTGTTCTAAATGTTCTAGAACACTGTTCTGGAACATTTCATAATGGAATGAACCAGAGTATTTTGAATTGATTTTGAACAAAATCATACTCGGCCCATACCCTGTGCTCATCGTAAAATAAATAAAGATGGTGGACCAATTATTACCAATACTTTTTGCTGTGATGGAAGAAGCTGACTTTGAAGAAAAATATGATGATAATAATATGGAAAAGTTTTTTTGCCACAGCTATTGCTATGTAGGTTTTTTTGTTGCATTTGAAGGAAACTAAATTGAGTTTTTATTGCTAAAAGGAATAAACAATTACCACTATAGTCAATATATTTGTTTATATTATAGGCCAAATTTTTTCACAAAAAGATAAACAAACTATTGGTATAAAAAATAAACATGTATAATTCTTTAAGATATGACTGTGTCTGATATATCAGTTGTTTTGTCATGACACTTCTCTTTATTTTAAACAAGGGTTCGAGAAGATAGAACAAAAGTTGGCAATTATGCAGAATTGACGATACCCAGTTATCTTATAGACGATTTTCAGAGATTTTTCAGGATTTCAAGAGGGACATTTGAAGTTATTCTCAGAAATATAGCCGTTTATCTTACACCTGATATTGGAAGAGCTGCTATAACTCCTGAAAAACACTTATTAATTACTATTTGGTTTATATCACACCAGGATACAATTCACAGAATGAGCGATAGATTCAGTGTTACAGATTCATCCATTATCAGATGCAGAGACAGAGTTTTCACTGTTGTTTTGAGATACTTAAAAACAAAATTTATCTACTTACCCAAAGATTATAATGTAAAAGTCCAAATAATGGATGAGTATAGGATTGGGTCTCAGTTCCCAAATATGTTAGGAGCTATTGATGGTACTTACATACGCATTGTCGC